CTTTTTTTTTTTAAAGCAACAGAAGTAAGGCTTCCTTTCGTCAAGCCTCAAGCTTGTGGTCCAATGGGTATATTTCAGATCCAAGGGGTAAATTTTAGATCAACCCTAACCCTTTTTTCGGCCCGTCGATCTCGAAGGCGGCGGCGGAATCCGCCGGCGGCCGTGAGCGTTTCTCGTGGGCGAACGAGACTCACGGAGGGGCTGGTGTTGGGGCTGTTTTGGCTCTTGTTATTCTTGCAACAGGCAGTTTTTATTTCCTCCTAATTTTGATCTGAAAGTGAAATTGCACTAAAAATTGAGAGGGGCGAGAGATTGGGACTGCAGTTGGGTGAATTTGTGCAGAAAATTTGGTGTAGGGAGGGGAGGATTGAGTAGAGGATGACGATAGCAACAATTGTAACACTGTGTTGAGGGCATAATTTGAAAATTGAATTTTGAATAAAGGGTAGAAAAGTAAATTTAACTTGCAGAATATAATTATTAACTATAAACCAAACAAGTTAATGTAATAGTTAAATAGATGGATAGCCTTTGATTTTATCAAGAAGATTATATCATGCTCAATCACCCTATACCAACCAAACCCACCCTTATAGTATATAACACTAACATACTCCCCCATATAAAGGGGTGTGGTAGGTTAGTTTTGGGGTTACATTCTCTACACACTATCATATACTTATTCGCTGTTAATCACCTTCAATCGATACTGACTTGGGCAATGAAGGCTCTTCACCAAAAAAACTCCCCTCCCGGTGTTGAGTTCTTGCAGGTGTAGAAGTCGTTTGAGGTAGAAGGAGGAGTCGTTGTGGTCGAAGAGGCCATTTCTTCACTGTGGTAGTTGAGCAGAGGCTGAGCGAAGTCTATTTCACTATTACTTTGTATACAACATAAAAAAATAATTGATTTAGTACTCAAACATGGCATCGAATTTAGTTTCATTTATGAGTAAACAATATAAGAATATTGCGAAATGATATTGTGAAATTAATAAAAAAAAAAAAAGATAACAGAAAGAGTTAGTGGTCTCAACAACAATAAGAGAGATAAAAGGTGATAATATAGTTTTGACTCTGAAGGTGAAATGGTCATATTGATTAAATATTTTAATATGATAATTATTTGTATCATTTATTCATTTTAGCCTGAATTTGAGGTTATCGAAATCTTGGTGTAAATCGTCTACCTTTATTGTTTTTGATAAATACACAATTATGCAACTAAAATTTTATAAATAAAAGTAGGATAATGTGTCAATTATATCATTTAATTTATGTTGATATAA